CAAAAAGTGCTCTTGTTGTCTCAAGGTGCACGGTGATAATGACAGTTTGCCAAATTTGCCTTGCAAGGAACACAGTTCAATCCTCTTCCCCATGTATCAAATGCCTTATTATGAACCTCATTCACATTACTTTATGCTTATAGAACTATCCATTTAGGTTTACAAAGGCACTAGTTCTGTGTTTACATGACTTTGTGAAAATACAAAGTGACAGTGCTGGCTCAGCATTCTGCGTTACCATTTACAGCATTCTGGACTGAACCCCCTGGATAAAGATAGGTTGCAAATTAGAGGAGCCCACTCAGTCATTGTTTGGTTTCTAGTAGCTAATATACACTTGAATACACCAGAATTCACTCATATGGTATGTGGCTTGTTTACTAGACCTTTGATGAAACTCTTATTCCACATTGTTCCACATTTTCAGTTCTAGCTTCAGTTTCAGGTCTAGCTCCTCCTTAAGCACGACTCTTTAGTGCCTTGAAAAGACACACTGTGAACACCCTAATTTTAGTAAAAGTCCACTAGAAGATGAGAAAAGAGAGTAATCTACACTAATTCATCCAAAGCAAAATTTTTATATTTCTCACAAATATTTGGAAAATTGGATATATTTAATCGGTCTTTCCAATGATGTACTCCCCATCAAAATTGGAAAATAATAGTTTAAATTATTCAAAGACAGAACTGAAGGTAACCTGACTTTAATTTCCAGATATTACACACATGCTGCAAAACCCTGCTGCGGTATTCGACAGGCTTTAAAAGATTCTACAGAAGTACTCTCATTTTTGAAATTTTGAAAATAAAAACAAACTGCAGTGTTCACATTCTGGGTGGGTGCCATTCAGTACACACTTGATTTTGCTATACAGATGTTTTCAGGGATTCAAATAATATGTACATCTTTTAGATTTTTTTTCTAAATAATGTTTATACATTTTTGTACCAAGAGAACATTTTAACAGAAATTTACAATATTGTATCAATATGTGGCATAAAGCATATATTTGCACATTATTGGAGGGAAGGTATTGATTTAATGACGTGGACATCTAAACAGCAAAGAAAGTCAAGAGAATTAAGCTTACCATGTACTAAACACTATACCTCACCAATTCTCAGGTCCTTGGTTTCTTTGCCTTGACCCAGATGAAGGGTCACAGGTGACTCAAAATACACCATGACAAAACATCAGCAAGTCTCACCTTCCAAGGACAGTTTCTCAGAAAACTGTGACAAGAAGTCAAGACAAATAGTTAAAGAGGGCACTCACTTGTTGTTATCTGTATTTGTTTGTCTTATTGCTTCAATATTGTCAGCCAATTTTTTATTGGAAGATCCCAGTTCTGGCAATGTTCCTTTGTGATTTTGATCCAATTGATCCAACAACTCTTTCTGTGCAGCATTGCCTTCAATATCAGCTTGACAATAGTTTCACTCAATTTCGCTAACGGAGTGGAGTTCTGTCCAGTCCCTAATTTAAATATTTTCAATAAATATATAATATTTTATTTTAAATAAAAAACAGAGGGTTATTTTTAATAATATTTCAAAAGGATTAAATTTCAACTTTGGTGTGAAGTTAAATCAACCAGTTCAGAAAGTTCAGTGGCTTTTCTATTACACAGGTCTCTGCAAGTAAGCCTAGGTAGTGAATTGTGCATTGCTGGATATTGAGCAGTGTTAGGTCCATATGATGTATCTTCCAGCTATTAGGATGAAAACTATTAATTTAAAAAATGAAAGGAAAATTACTGTACTGTATTATGAATACAGCATATGTATACTGATTACTGATCAACTCATCCAAATATCTAAAGACCTTGACTGTTGAATGGGGAGAGGCATGTGGAATTTATTACATTAATACTGTAGGTGTTCATAGTGAATAGACTTAGAAGAAATACCAAAACATTTAAAGATGTTTCCTGAGATACCACTAGACTACTGCATTGAGTGGTAAACCCTGAAAATAAGCAAGGATTCTCAGAGAACTTTTTGGTAGGTCCAGAATTAAAAGTAACAGTAAAAGCACACCAGGCTGAATTATATGGCAGTGGTTTTGCTCTGGATGGAAAGCACCATTAGAGTAAACTTGAAGTAAGACTTCGTAAAATGAGATTGGGAGTTCCATTAGTACTCCCAAGACACACAAGCAGCAGCACTGAAGTAGCTTTCACAGTAAGCGGTAACATATGTAAAAAATGCATTAAGCTGAACAACTGGCTCCAGGGATACAGGCCTTGGTAACAGTGAAAATGACCTAGTTCCAGTGTTGAGGGATATGAACTAAACATTACAGGAAAGGACAGGTTTCAGGGGGAGCTGACTGATGTGTTCAAAATCCTCCAAAACAATAACAAGTCAGCAACAATTAGTCATAAATCCATAAAAAAATCATAAAGGAATATGAGCACCTAATATAACGATATTATGACAGTAGGCACTTTTACACAAAGGGTAAAAGCAGTTGTTGAGATCAATATTCAAGATCCACTGGAACTGTATAACAATTTGTTCCTAACATTCATCAATAGGTGGAATGCTCTCCTTTATTCAGGACAGATTTATTAGAACAGTCTCCCAAAAAAAATTCCAAACAGAATTTGTTAAAAAAATAATAATTGTGCTGTGTGTCATTCAAGATGCTGTTTTTTACCTTCAGAATCTATTTCTTCTTCAAGTCCAATCTTTCTCAAAACACAGGTGTGGCAAATGTGTGTGTTAATCTTTCTGGACCATTCTGGACCAGATCCACCATTGTTCCCCAATTCATTTAGAAAACATCCAGTACTTTTTTGTACTGTATAAGGCAGTGTTAATTCCTTAGCAAAATGGCCATTTTATGTTTTTATCACTATATACCATGTCCTATAGTCCCAAACAGATCTTATTTACACATTTGAGTTGCACTGTTGTGTAAAAGGCAGACATTGGACTCTTACTGTATTCCTTACTGTATTGTTCTTTCACACTTTTCCCCTTGAACCTGAATTGGGTCTTCATTTTGTTATACAGTAAGTCCTAGTTAAAAAAAATATTAGAGGGAGTAACAGTAAATATCCAGTTTTAAATTAGTCCTGTTGTTTTGGAATGCAGTTACAGAGGCCATATACTGTAGCTATTGAGCAGATAAAATAAAACCCTGAATTTGTCCCTGTTTTCCACCAAAGAGCTCTGACAAATTTATATTCTTAAAGAAATTTGAAAACTGAAACTTGTGCACTGTGTAAATTATGCACTGATTCAAGATTATATACAGTATAAGAACCTTTAATCAATTTATACCTAAATAATGAAAACAGAGAACTGAGCATTTAAAAAAACAGTTTGAAAATCAAGTCTTCTCACCCCAGTGCTAAGTCATATTAGAAATTATAGGTTATGATAGGTTATTTTCACAGGAGAAAAAGCATTAGGTGTCTTCAATCAGGTGTTTCAATGCAGAATCACTACACATACACGTACAAGTATTTAGTGTTAAGAAAGGTAGACTGTATTCACAAGAATCCTTGCTGATTTAGAATTAATTATTGTAAAACTAAGCAAAAACAACTGGGTTATATACATGTCATGAATATATTGGCTGCAGTCCTATCTCCCACGGGAGAAATGTGATTGATAGCATTACAGAACTCTTCCCTTTTAAAAGAGCTATAAAAGTACTGGATTTCACTTAGAGTGTGTGCATCAATGACTATAAGTAAGTCAGGAAATTGTGAGATTAAAAACATTCTGGTCTACTGCTGCTGTTGGAAAAAAAGTGATGAGATATTTCTAGATGATTTGTGCATTTTGTGCTTTATGAGCACGAGAAAATTTTGACGGGAGAATTAAATTACATATGATTCTTCAGAAATTTCATTAATGTTAAAAAGTTAAGTATTGGTTACCATCTTCTCATTCGGTAGAGATCTTTAATATATGATCTATAATATGTGAACTATTATTGTTACCTGTGTTCATCTGACATTTGCTCATAAATTTATTTAATTGCTCATTAGCTAATTTAACTAATGCGGTTGCATTCAGCATAAGTATTCATAGAGCTGCGATACATATCTAGTTTTATGTGTGTTTTCAATTTGGCAAGGAAGTTGTTTTGGGCATAACTAGGCAAATGTCAACTTTCATGGTCACAAACTCCATAACAACTGCTAGTCCTAGAAAGGAAAAAAAGTTATTTGTGAAGGCTGCAATATTAATGGAGACTAAAATTTTGTCATGAATTTTGGGGGTCTAATTGAAACTATTTTAAAATGTTCAAAGAAAAAACAATTCCACAAGTACAGAAATGTGAACTTGTTCCCCATTGTTCTAGCTACTGTATGTCAAATGGTAATGAAGTGCAGGCTTCAGGCACAGTGAAACTGCAGTCTGTCTAGAACTACCATTTATGTATCTGAGGATTTACTGCAGTATTAAAGGTGGATGTATCTGAAATATAACTGAACAGTTAACACTGATGATGGCCCATCAGGACATTGTATACTGAGTTTTGAGTACAGATCTTAAATATGCTTTTCTTTTTCTTGTTAAAGTAGGTTAAATCAATATGCTCTTAGGAACAGAATTTTCTTGATGCACGTTTATTACAAAGTATTTGCTACATGTATTTTCAGAGACTTTGAATTTTTTTGTAAATTGCAAAAGAAAGGCCAACATCTTTAAGACAGTTTTTGTGCTTTGAGACTAGAACAAAATCTGTGTCTTGGAACTTCGTACAGTATGAAATAATGGGTAGCCTTGGAACACAAAAGGACAGCAGTCTTTTTGAACACACAGCACGATAGGAGAACCATAGAAAGACACTACATTTTAGAACAGCTATACAAACTGCCACTAAAGCTACAGTTCCACCTGAATTATTTGAATCCCTGAACCATTTTAATGTGACCTTATTCAATGGACAATTACCATCGGAGGTCATTCAGCTTTTCATACAACCTTGGCACAAAAATGTGTAAAGCTATAGCCAAGCCACTCAGACACAACAATTCAGTACTCCTCAGATCTTCATTTTTATTTCACTGAAGCCAAAAATTCTTCATCTCCCATTTTGCCATGTTGTTGTGTTCCCTCCTCTTATTTAGCCTTCCTCTTTTTATTTCACAAAGCAGGGAAAAGAGAACTTTATCCTGGGCGCCCTTCTCTCCCCCATGTATTATAAGGCCTCAATGGAAAAACAGAATCCTCAGACTGTAGTTACTCGCATCACCAGCTCCCGATTGCTGTTGCTGGGCTGGCCCCTGGGCTCCTGCTGCCTGAGGTGGCTGAGGAGGTGCAGGATAGAGTATGCACAGTGGTGGTCAGACAGGGATGGCCCATTGCCTTGAGAAGAACCATGGGTTAGCCCCATTGTCATAGTGGCAGTTGCCGTAGGGGTTGCAGAGGTGATGGGGGCAGCAGTGGCACCAGTATTTACAGAGGAAGTAGATGTGGAAGCAGCCACAGCTTGGCTACTCCCTTGTGTGGGCAGTGACAGGGTCCTTGTGCTGGTCCCAGTCTTTTGGTCCTCACTGTCCTTCATCTTGTCATAGTTCAGCACCTTCCACTGCTGGTTGACAGCCTGCCAGCGATTGAATATGCGGTACACCGAGGGACCTTCATGGATGATAAGAGCTGAGGAAAAAACAGCAAGGAAACATGACACAGATTGGTATATTCATTAACTGAATTATAATGGTATCAGTACCATGATTTCTGTAATATGCAAGAACAATAGTACGTTTACTGATTGTGATGATACAAATTATTTTTATACATGCAGAGCTGCATATAATTTGGTTAGTATTGTCAAGAACGGACTGGACAGAGGAACCCCCTGTGCTCCCTTGGGTTTCCAAACATACAGTACACTCCCTTATCTTTTCCCTCTGCTTTCATTATCTTATGTAGCTGTGATTGAAGACTGTCCTAATGAATTGAGCATAGCTACCCCCTTGAATAACAGCTGCTCCTCACTGTTGTGTTGCGAGCTGCCCTCATGGCCTTATTACCGAAGATAACTGAAAACTACAGCCCTTCTTGAAATATATTGAGCTTATTGCTCATTACTACCAACTTGAATGCCAATAAGAACATTGCAGTCCAGAAATAACTTAATATAGGTATTTCATGTCAAAGATCAAGCATTGTGATATTAGTAAATTCAAAGTTCTTAAAGAGTATAAGCTCATTTAAAATATATGACATCAACATTTTGTAGTGCAGCTCGCTTTAAAAATATATAGTGGCACCTGTGTGTTGTTTTGGAGAATGAGGCACAGGTGGCTGTTTCTTTCCTTTGTCGCTATCCAATCAATTAATGGAACAGCAAGTAAGGTATATTGGAATGATAAAGCTTCCCATTCAGCAAACTAAAAAATTAATATGATGGAAGGTGGTTTTACATTTTAAACATGTGTATTCAGTTCCTGACTGGTCTAGGCAAGTATTAATAGCAGGGACCTTGACAAATGGCTGACAGTTGAATCATGTATTTTTTGTGATACCACACAACAATTTATTACTTGCTCTAAATTGATCTTTCTTCACTTCTGTTTTTTTTCCAGGTTTTGATGCAAAACTTTTATGTTAAAGTGATAAAACATAGACCAAATAAATACAAATTTCTGTAATATGCAAGAACTATAGTAAGTTTACTTACAACGACACACTACAACACAATACAACAAAGCTTATGAAATATCAAAACAAAAAATAAAATCATTAGTGTGTGCTGGTCTGATGTGATCAGGCCACTAAAATCAAAAGTTTAAATATTCACAACGAGATTTTCCTTGGTAACCTCCTTACCATCTAAAAATTATATTAAAGCATATTGATTTCTACCACTGAAAATCAGAAAGCTGGAAAATTGAAAATGAAAAAGAAAACATGCCCATGATGTTACTCATTATTTTTGTCAAGCGTCCTCCAAGTCAGCATGTTTGCAGATATGCCTTTGTAACTAGCCACCATCTGCAATTATGTTAAGATCAGAACCTTTTCAACATTTACCTCACAAAATCTTTCAGATGTCTCCTGGATTCATTCAATTTCAAGTCCTATCAACAACTCTTTTATTATGTAATTATTTGTACAGGGGAGTTAAATTCAATTCAATTTATTTTTATATAGCACCTTTCACAACCAGGTTGCCCCAAGGCAAATAAAATTAACAGATGGAGTAACAGCTAGGAACATGGTGTATGGAAAGGACTTACTTACCGTACTTCAAGTTGGGATTTTTTATGTTCAAATACATTGCAATAATATCTTAATCATGACACCCCTTTAATTTGAAATAATTTATTACATGGAAATATTGTTGTTTTTGATTTTGCTTATAGACTCATGTGGTAATTGTAATATCAGGAGATAGGGAAAACAACATTTTCATGAACAGGCTTTCTGTGTAGTTACAAGACTAGCTTATGAGATCAGAATTTTCTTTTTGTTGCATTTCTTACCCCTACCATTACCCATATCAAACTCTGGAAACCATCGTGTTTAACTAGATAGTCAGAATTCTAAGAAATAAACAATTTTAAGTTGCCTCATGAAGAAATACTTAAGAGGGGGGAGATGATGAATCAATGCTCGGATCCATGGCTGGAGACAGTAGTTATTGTAGAAAAAAAACTTTGTTTTATCCTAAGAGTAAGAGAAAGTATAAAGTTTACCAGACTACTAGGATATACATTTATTTAGACTAGGGTCAGATATAAAAACCTCTTTAACAGTCTCCAAATATTCCTAGATCTTGCACTGAGCAGTTGTATTTTAAAGCTGCTGTAAAGGATTATGTTGGAAACATAAATAAGAAAGCATAAGCATAAGCATAAGGAGTCATTCAGTGTATAGAGATTTGTGGACATTCTTGGAGTACCAGAAGACTTTGACAAGTGTAAGGTGTGCAAATTGGGAATATGTAGCTTTGTAAAGCGTTGGAGAGATGAGTAGTCTTTATAGGGACTTTATGGAGAAGATTCGCTATATTTACAATGAGCTAGAATGATGAATTTATTCCAGAATACTTCAAAGAAATCAAGTCAATGTGTGAAAGCATAACAACTAAAGGTTGACAGAGATTTTATAATGTGAATTCACATTTAAAAACAGAATACATATACCCATAAAATTCTAAACAGATAGTAAATATTTTGTAACATGAAACTTATGACAATCAAATACTGTTAAAATACCTTACAGATTTAAGGGTTATGCAGAATACTGTATACCTGTACAGTAAGTAAAATAAAAACTGAATATCAAGTGACTACTGAAAGTTTCTAATGATATGTCATTGCCTGCTGAATTACATTCTACTCATGCTTTAACCTAAGTAAATAATATTGGTATTATCTTTATGAAATTATGGAATCATATTGGAATGTGCATTTATCTTCCCACACACTACTCCAAATGGGCTGTTTCATAAATGGCATGTCTTTACTGTTTACATGTCTCCTAGGATGTACTGCATCAATACTCAGAACTGTGTCTTCTCTTTCCTGAGCGATGATATAGTGAACTAGCCAATCATTTTCCTAATCACTATGTGGTGACAATTTAATCTCTGTAAAGTGTATATTTAATGACAGTGCAGTCTGTTGCCGTCGCAGACAACACTCAATAAATCTCTTTTGTTTCGACAGATGCTTAATCAGACTTGCACTTTCTCCTATGTTTAAGAAGAACCACATTACTGCTATTACTTGAACTCTAAACACACACACAAACATCCATTCATTTTATAACCACTTCATCCAATTCAGGGTTCCAGGAGAGCCAGAATCTACAGTAGCTTAGCAAGCAAAGGGCACAGAGCATGGTACAGCCTGGATGGCACACCAGTCCATCATGGGGCACACACAGACACAAACACGCACACACTCATAGCAGGACCAGTTTTCCCAGAAACCAATTAACCTACCAGTATGTCCTTGGACTGAAAGACTTGGAAGAAACCCACGCAAACATGGGGCGAACATACAAGTCCATACACAGATAGCACCTCAGATCCATAATTGAACCCAGGGCCCAAGTGCAATGAGGCAGCAATGCTAACCAAATGCCAACCATATCACATCATGCAAAGCATACACAAGTTAAAACATTTAAGCCACAGACAACCTCCTGATCACCCTACAAACAACAATACCCTACATTCAAGTCCCTGGCACTCACAATGATAAACTAAACTACACATATTGCTGCACCCTTATAAATATCCCCCACGCATAATGACATCAGCAAAGGAAAAAGGAAAACCAGGTTGTTACTGTAAGGAGTGTGTGTGAAACAGCAGGGGGAACCTGGAACAGATTTTTCAAACCATTTCCCTAGTATGTCAACAATGGTTTGAAGGAGGCACTGTCCTTCGGACAAAATGTTAATCTTACTACCTTTTCATTAGGTAATGTTCATAAGAGTAGGGGTTTTAACTTTGGTGTCCCAAGTAAATTCCAACCTGGACATGGACAGTCTGTTCTACATCAATTCCCCCTAAATGTAATTTGTAGAAGAAATCCTCATTTCGCTACCTGATCTGCATTTTCTGGGAATGCTGGCACAGAATGCCTTTTCTAACTGTTTCCTCAGCCAAACTAGTGAATACCAGGCAATGTAAGAACTCACCATAATTCATCCAATTGCAAATTGATAAGGGGTTTGTCTGATCTACAGAACTCACTGTTCTGTAGATCAGACAAAAAAGGAAAAATTGAGCCCAATATATTTCGATTTAGTTAAGTACCACATAGTATAATGAGAAGAAAAATCTATATAGCTTATTCTTTCTTCATATTTATCATGATATTTGGCATAGTTTATATACTACCATATGTAGCAATCCTTACTTATGGATTTGTGTAATTCTGGATATTTTTGGCAACATTGTTGTAAGTTTGGTATTCATGCTTGGGGAAATGAAAGTTATTGAAAAGGGTAGTAAATCACATTTTTTTAAATTAAAAAATCCTAATCAACAGGCATGTGCAGATGTCCACAGATGGACAACACACACCCATCTTTCCACTACAAGTCGCTCTGATAACAGTAACTCAACTCTTGTCTGTGTTATTTAAAAGATGGTTATGCAGTTTAGCTGAAAATGAAATCATTAATTTGCTCAACAGTGGAAACGAGTGATTCTCCATGTTGCTGTTGCAAAAACATCCCATTTGATAAAATGAAGAGATCAATAAGAAGCTTCCTGATTGAGCAAACAAGTATTGAGTCTAAGTCACATTTTGCACATCCGTGCTCTGAATGTAAATGTTTTATGGTGGTTTTATCTCTTGTTTTGTGAAAAAGTTTTCTGTCTCATGTTAGTGTTTGTCATCCAAAGAGTAGAATCATTGACAGCACCTCAGTCTGATTGGTTAATTAATGCATTACACCTGAGTGCATAAACAGCCCTTTAGCTTGTTTGATTACAACAGGAAGGAGCTGAAGAGATGACTAAGGGCTCTGTCTTGACTTCTGTGCTGACCTCTGTCTTTGTATATTTGGAGCTGCTGTTCATGTTTAATTGACAGGGTAAAGAAATCCCAGACTGGAGAAACCTACTTTCCAGAACCAGTGGTTCATTTTGCATTCATTTTTTCATCCCTTCAAGAGATTAGTAGCCACTA